GCGTCTTGCGTCTGCGTCAATGCGTCTCACACTAAACTAATTGCGTCACACGACTTTTAATTTTGACGACATGTATAATTATTACTATGAAATTTAAAGAATTTGCCTGATCGGCATTAATTAAATCCTTTCCTTAACTGGTGGGTGGATCACGAATTAAGTATAATTGACCTTTTGTCATTACTCCGTAAAAAATATCAAGAGTCTTCATTATCATCTATTATTCATTATTAATAAATGTTCAATATGTTATAATCTAATTTTATTAAACATATTTTCAAGGAACAATGTGATGATGATGCATATTACAATGATAATTATAGTGTGTATTACAATGAGAATTCTGAACTGATACAAGATCAAAGAATACTAACAATAGCAAAAGAGCTGAGATCATTGAAGTAAATAATAATGGAAATATTAACAATGAAGAAAGAAATGAGATTGTTGATGTTGTGCAAGAAAACATAACAATATCAACAAATAGAACAAATAGAACATATAGAATACATAATCATCATCGAAATGATAACACTCTGTTTCAAAATTATAGTATCATGGATATCACAACTGATGAAAGAGATGATACAGATAATGCCTCAGGTGAGATTGAAGGTAATGATTATAATATCTCAAATGAAATAGTTGATGAGGAAGCAACTGATGGAAGAGATGATACATATAATGTCTCAGATGAAATAGTTGATGAAAAAGAAAGCATAGAAAGAAGAATATTAGAAAATTCGAAACAAAAAATGGTCACTCCAAGAAGAAAATCTTCTTTTGAATTTTATTTTGAGGAAAAGTATCAATGCTAAAAAACTCAAAGAATCAGGATTATATAGAACCAGTTCTGCAATATCAAACAAGGCTTGAGAAATCAAGTGACAATTAAAAAACTTGTTTAATGCTTAGTGAATTTGACATTTTTATTATATTTATCTCTTCTCTTTTATAATTATTATTATTATCCTATATATTGCTGTTTGAATTCTCTCTTTCATGCATCTAAAATTTTTATATTATTATTATTTGTTCATGTTAATATAATGAAATAAATATAAATGCTTACTACTACTGCTACAATCTTTTTTCCTAATAATATGACAATTCTTTTGTTTTTTGTTCCATAACCATATGACAAAGCCACATGATCAATTTGTACAATAATCTTTGCCTTGTTGCTTCATTCACAGAGCTCCATATCTTCATTATAAAATTCATAAAATTTTAAAAATAAATTCATAGAGCACATTAATTCATCACCTGAAACTTGGAACCAAGAAAGGTAGAAAAAAAATATATATTTAAAAAAATAATTCTAATCTTTATTGTAAGATTGATTTTGACTAAATAAAACTTTAGATTAAATGTCAACTAAATTCCTATCATAATCATTTAGTATCTATGAAGTGCATAATAATAAAATTCAACATGCATGTGATTATTTTGTAAGTAACAAATGATTGATAAAAAAATTCACTTGACTAAATTAACTGATTAAAGAATTTTTGTGCAGTGCCAACCTCTATTCCAGTGTTCCATATTCCAGTCATTTGTCATTGGAACTGGAATTT